TTTAAAGCAAAAAGGAAATGCCTTTTAGAGAGAGAGACTAGAGGACGAGATTGTACCAAAATTTGAGATTTTTCTAAGGCAAACTGAGCTTCTTTTTGTGTTGAATCCTTCCGGGAACGTTTCCGGCAAATCGCAGGTCTCTGTCCTTGGTGCATGTGGTTTGAAAGAAGATTGGTTAAGGTGGGGAACTAGCTAAAGATGAACTAGCCATTTAGGATCAACATAGAGTGGTAAAAGGATAAATGAGTCCTGAATGTATGATTCGTTTCCTTGGTCTAATGCTTCAATGAGAAAATTAAGTCCAAATAAAACAGAGCTAGTGTATTCCTTCATCTAAATCAAATAATTTCAATTCCTCTGGGGTACTTCATTTCAAATGTGCTTAGCTACCGCCTAGTCTAATCCTAAATCATGAATGAGCATGTCTCTAGGAACAGTCTAAAATCACACAGTCAACTATCATTGATTCATGTTCACCATTCCCTTTAAAAAATATTTTGTTTTGAAAACCGATTTTGAAAAACTTTAAGGAAAATGCAAAAAGTGTAGATAATGCAAGACTCATGAAAGAAAAGTGGTTAGAAAGGGATGAAATCCTCCCCTAGACTTAAATCACACTGTCCTCAGTGTGAAACAAGTCGAGATTGGATGAGAAAAATGCATAGATAATCGAATTGGTAAGGCCAAAGAGAACTTACCTGGATCTAGGATGCTGGTGGTGATGGACCGGATTCATTCGAAAAGGTTTGGGAAGGTGATAGGTGGTGATGGAGGTGGTGGGAAGTGATGAATGAGGTGGAGTGGGGATTGGTGAGGTGGAATGAGGTGAAGTGGGTGATTTGGGGTCGGGCTTGATCTCAACGACCATTTGCCGCGGTCAGGAGCCGCGCGACCGCGGTCGATCATGCGTTTCCCGCGGTCAGAGCTTCTGCGACCGCGGGGGCTTATATCGCGGCCTGTTCCTGCTTCTCCTTGGTTCCTGCTGGGCCGAGCAGTCAAGGACCATCCTTCTTTTTGGTTTTTTCGGGTTTTTTAATTTTTTTGGCTTTTTTTGTTTTAGAAGAAACAACTGAAACTAAGAAAAAGAAAAAGATCAACGGAAAAAGAAAGAAAAAATCCTAAAGAAAACAATACCTAAATGGGTTGCCTCCCATTAAGCGCTTCTGTTTTAAGTCATTTAGCTCGACTTTTGGTGCTGGACGTGGCTAAGTCCAATGAAGAAGACCTTGTCCTGAGACAAGTCTTTTTTGACATCTCCTTACTTTGCCTAGCAGGTTCTTCGTCACTCCAAAGCTCTTCTTCAAATTCTTCTGTTGCACAACGTTTTCTTGCTTTGCTGTTGTATCGGACAGCTTCTGTGAAGACATCTTTGTCGATATTAGCAAACGAAATCCTCCGTTTTGGCCAGTCCATTATAGCTCTGGAAGTTGCTAGATAAGACCATCCGAGAATCACTGGATATGTTGCGTCTCTCGTTTCAACAATGTAGAAGTCGACAGGCATGATGCAATCTCCTATTCTCAAAGGAATTTCATGAGCTATTCTTTGTCGATTTTATGAGCTATTCTTTCATGAACGTTTTCCTGCTTTGCTGTTGTATGGGACAGCTTCTGTGAAGACATCTTTGTCGATATTAGCAAACGAAATCCTCCGTTTTGGCCAGTCCATTATAGCTCTGGAAGTTGCTAGATAAGACCATCCGAGAATCACTGGATATGTTGCGTCTCTCGTTTCAACAATGTAGAAGTTGACAGGCACGATGGAATCTCCTATTCTCAAAGGAATTTCATGAGCTATTCTTTGAGGTGTTGCATTGGAATCATCAGCTAGACTAATCTTTGCTCTAGTCCTGCGCAGGTGTTTAATACCAAGTCTCAAAGCAATTGCCTTGGACATCATGTTAAGACAAGCTCCAGAATCACAAAGCACGTTTTTAAACATTTCTCCTCTAATAGAACAAGAGATAAGGAACTGACCTGTAGTCTTGACCTTATGGAGAATTCGAACTTGCCTTTCTCTGTAGGTGTTGGCTGGTGTTTCAAACGCAGAATAGGATTCACAAAAAAAAGCTGCAGCGTCGTATTCAATGATTGAATCGATGTATGTCATCTTTATCTTGCTGCATATCGGGTCTTCTTGGATTGAAGAGTCAGCTGAATCTTCAACACATTCCTTTTCCATCATACAAGGTAATGATTCCTGTCAATCTGTTTCTTCATCTGAAACTTGGTTTTCTTCTTCCTGAGTTGCTTTTTTAGGTGCTGGAGGTTGGAGTTGGGACAGAAGATGTATTATTTTCCTTTCAAATCCCGGAGGTGAATCTGAACGACCAATCCCCGCGGTCAGAGGTGTCGCGACCGCGGGAAAAGGAGCCTTGGCCGCGGTCGGAACGGTCGGACCCGCGGCTCCGGATATGATTTGCTCATAGTCCGCTTCTTCCTTCTTGTACTTGATACGAACCTCTCCAGCTTCTTTATTTGGTAGACCAGCCATATGAACTCACACTAGGGCGTTGTTGTGCATCTTCATCAGGATCTTTGGGAGATTTCTTAGAAAATCTCACAATTTGCTCAATGTTGGGCATCTGTTCCATTCTTGCATCAATCTCCCGTGCCTTGAGCTCGAGTTTGTTCAGCCTGTGCTCGATCTCCTGCAACTTTTCATCAGTCTTCTCTCTATAGCGGATTCTCTGACTTCTTTAATCTCCTGCTTTGATTCGACAATATTGCTTGAGTTTTGTATGATGTCATACCCTTGTGTCTTGTCTGCTCTGTTGCGACTTGGTGGATCATCCCAGCTAGTGTTTGTACATCCTCGTGGGTTTGTTCTTCCAGAACTCGAACATGATTGGCCAGATCATCGAATTTTCTGTTGAACTCTTCAGAGATTGAATCAATTCTCTTGAGCAGGGTGTTTTCGGTGAGAATCTGCTGATCAAGGAACTGGTTTATCATTCCTTCGAGACGTCCCAAACGTCTGCTGATCCTCAATTTTTCCTCTTGCTGATTAGGGTTCTGCAGTAAAGGATTATAGGCGTGTGGCTCGAAGTAGGTTGGAGGAGGATCATAAGGATCTTCCCGGCGTCGAACAGGCTCTCTGCGCCGGTGGTATGGGTGGTTTGGCTGGCTGTATCGATCCATGTAGCTAAGATCTCGGGCTTGGTGTTCTTCTCTGCCTCTGGTGGCTTGAGGAGTGTTGTAAAAACCTTCCTCATAGTGTGGGTTTCGATTTATAGGATCCATATCTTCTGAAATGGAAACAAAATAACCGAAAAATGGAAATATGCAGAAAAAGGGGTTCTAGAGTCGATTTACCAACCTTTCTTAGGGTTTTGCGGAAAAGAAAACGCGTGCCTTCCCCGGCAACGGCGCCAAAAACTTGATGTGCTGTCGTGTGTGAGGGTGTCAAGTTTTACCCTAAATGAAATCAATAGCCGCACGTGCACAGCTGATCGATTGTAGTACTTAGGGATCGAATCCACAGGGAAGGAGGATCTTTCCTGCAGAAGCCTTCGGAAGAAATATAAAGTAAGGAAGTTTAGAACCAGGCGAGTTTTGTGAGGGTTTTGGTGGTGTGTTTAAAAACGTAAAAACGAATCTTAAAGAGAGAATACAGGAATTAAAATGACCTAATAACTAAGCTTAACGAAAACGGGTAAAAACGAGAAAACCGGCTAGACCTAATTGCTAAGTGAAAATCGATTGAAAGAGTAAAGATACTAGACTAAAGCTTGAATGAAAATCAGTGTAAATCTATAAGAAAAGAGGCACTGGGGTTCAGGAAAATTTTATCAGGGGTATGAACGATTCAAAACATTGCTAGAGAGTAAATTTGATAAGATCTTAGCTTAAACTTTTCGAACTGGAGTCACGGACGTATGAATACGCCACTGTCTTGATCATAGACAACTATCTCTCTTAACCCTGACCAGTAGGTTTCCACTCTGGCCCTGGAAAAGAAAAGGTGCATTATGTTTAAGACTCGTCAGCATTCACAAATCGCCCATAGGTAGGTTTCCACTCCGATGTTTGTTTTGCTCTCCAAAACTAGATCTGACACCGGATGAAGACTTTCGTGTCACCAAGCATCTGGATCAGATTGTAGTTCATGACGCTACTCTCATGCAGTAAAAACGAATTCAGAAGAAAAAGTTCTAAGATTCGGCTCAAAAGCTCATGGAATCCTCACCGAACATATATATCCCCATCGAAAATCCCTTAGACCCAACAATAAAACTACTCAGACATAATAAACGAAATCAAAAACATAATATTAGAAGGTAGAATAGAAACCGAAATTGAAAAGAAAAAACAAAGGTTCAAGAGACAGATCTCTCTCTCCCTAAAACCTAAAAACAAAGCTTAAAGTAAAATTTCTGTAAAGTATTTCGTCTCTCTTCTTCTCTCTTTAAAAACGACCTAAATGACATGTATTTATAGTCTCCAATACTGGCTTCAGAAATGGCTTCTGGTGTCCAGGGTTCCGGAATTGAGGTTGGTAAAATGATATGGGCTCTTCAGACATGGGCCTTCAAAGTCGGAGTTAGCTGGCCGCGGTCGGGAAGTGCGTGACCGCGGGGAATGGGTGGCTGGCCGCGGTCGCGGTGGTTGTGACCGCAGAGAATGGCTTGTTGGCCGCGGGTGGAAACGCTTGCTGGCTGGTTTACGGGACATCTTGCTCTTCGCGTATCTTTTGATTGAACCGTTGGATTGCCAAGCCGTAAAGTGTGCTGGAAAGCTGGTACTTCCATCTTTAAGATCGCCAAATTGAGCTGGATCAGACGGTGAGAAGGCCTTCAATAGGGAGTGAACTTCTGACGGTTTGACTCTGAGCTGAAATCTGGTTTTCTATCTATTTTGTTAAACTTTTCCCAAAGTTACCTGAAAAGAGTCTTGGAACTACAAATACTAGAAAAACGTAATAAAAGTACTTAAAAGCAATTAAAAACATGGGAAAAGTATTTCAAAACGATCCATAAAAGTGGTCAAAATACAGTGTTATCACTGCTCCCACTTGAACTCCACGTTTTTCTTGATCACCGACGTTAGTGGCGCTGCCAAGGTGCTGAAATCCTTGACAAATCGGCGGTAAAAGCTTGCGAGACCATGAAAACTCCTCACATGGCTGATGGTGGTTGGCGTGGGCCAATCTTGAATAGCTTTGATCTTCTCTTCATCAACTTTATGACCCTGTGAGCTAACAACAAAGCCTAAAAATACTACTTGATCAGTGCAAAAGATGCATATCTTAATGTTGGCATATAAGTTCTCTGACCGAAGTGTCTCTAGAACTTGTGAAAGATGCTTCAGGTGATCTGCAAGACAAGTGCTGTAAATTAGTATATCGTCAAAGTACACTACTACGAACTTACAGACGTAGGCTCTTAGAACGTGATTCATAAGCCTCATGAAGGTGCTTGGTGCATTGGTGAGTCCAAATGGCATCACCAGCCACTCGTATAAGCCCCACATTGTCTTGAACGCCGCCTTCCATTCATCTCCTTCCTTCATTCGCACTTGATGATATCCACTTCTCAAATCGATCTTAGAGAAGATGGTGGCGCCGTTAAGCTCGTCTAGCATGTCATCAAGTCGAGGTATGGGATGCCTGTACTAGATAGTGATGTTGTTGATGGCTCTACAATCAACACACATCCTCCATGAGCCATATTTCTTGGGCACCAGCAAGACAGGGACAACACACGGGCTAAGGCTCTCGCGTATATATCCTTTTGACATTAGGTCTTGTACTTGATTCTCTAATTCTTTGGCCTCCTCGGGATTAACTCGGTGAGTGGCTCGGTTTGGCAATGGTGCTCCAGGGATCAGGTCAATCTGATGCTCTATTCCTCTAATGGGAGGTAAGCCAGGTGGAATCTCCTCCGGGAACACATCGGAATAGCGGTCTTACAGCTCCTTAACGGTTGGAGGGAGTTCTTGTTGTTCCTGACCTGAAAATAAACCTTCCTTGAAGATCATTAGTAGCACCTGTTCTTGTGATTAAAGAGACTTAAGCACAGCCGTAGGAGTAATATAAAGGTTGGTCTTGCTTACCTCTGAGCCTCGAGAGATGGCCTTGTGCATGTCATGCACTTCTTGCAGAGTGAGTGGTGCTAGATTATGCTTCTTGTTATTATGAGTAAAGGTATAGTAATTGGTGCGTCCATTGTGTAGAGTTTCTTTGTCCAATTGCCACAGCCTCCCTAGGAGCAGGTGCCCGGCTTGCATAGGGACCACATCACACACCACTTGATCCGTATACTTACCAATGCTAAAGGGCACGGTGACTTGCTCAGCAATCTTGAGCTCGGTTTCATCATTCAACCACTTGAGCTTGTAGGGTCGAGGATGCTTAGTCTTGGTGAGCCCTAGCTTATCTACAAGATACTTGCTAGCCACGTTAGTGCAAGAACCCCCATCAATGATCAAGCTACATACCTTGGCGTTTATAGTGCACCGAGAGTGGAATATGTTCTCTCTCTGGATGGTTTCTGGCTCAAAAAGTGCACTAAGTGCTCGCCTCACTACTAAGAGCTCTCCTTGGTCAGGGTAGTCGACTATGTCCTTATCAGTGTCTTCAGCTTCCTCTCCTTCGTCTTGTGATTCATACTTGCCATTAGACTTGAGGATCATCACTCTTTGGTTTGGACACTCCCTCGCATAATGTCCTTTGCCCTGGCATTTGAAACAAGTTATATCTCTAGCTCGTTGTGTGGAAGCTTTACTTACCTCGGGTCTGTTGGCTTTGGAAGTTTCAGGAGTGGACTTGTGGAATCGGTTATCCACTTCGACAGCGTTGCCCTTCTCAAGAGCTCGCTGAGGTTGTGGCGTCCAAGTTGTTTTGCTCCGGTTTGTGGAAGTGTTCTTCCTCTTAATGTATTGCTCAGCTTGCACGGCATGATGTAACACGTCCTCCAAATCATGGTAAGTCTGCCTCTCGACCTTTCTAGAAATTCGATCATTGAGACCATCAATGAATTGGGCCATCAGGGTCTCAGCTGAGTCTTCTACTTCAAGCCAGTTCTTAAGAGTCTCAAACTCTTTGAAGTACTCCTCCACGGTCTTGCTTCCTTGAGTGAGCTTGCGAAATTTCTTCTGCAAGTCTCGGTGGTAGTAGACTGGGACATATCTCTTTTTGAGGCTGAATCTCATGCCCTCCCAATTATTGACCTGTCCATATTTATGCCTTATTCTTTTGGAAACATCTCGATCCCACTACGCCAAGGCATTGTCAGTTAGCTGTGCGGCTTCTAATGACACCTTTCTAGCCTCCGAGTATTGGTAATAATAGAAGATGTATTCCATCCTCATTTCCCGATCAAGATACGCATCGGGTTCACCTTGCCGGCAAATGTTGGTGCGGTGAGCTTGAGGTCTTTGCCCTCTTCTTGGCCTCGGCGTCGTTGGTTTTGTCCTCGGGGTTGGTTTTGGTTTGGTGGATCTCCATCGTCAAGATCCTCCATGACCTCATCTTCGTCCTGGTTGCCCCTCCGCGAGTTTATATCTCTAATAGGTCCTCTTGGGGCCGGTGGTGGCTGCTCAATCCGTGTCATTCGCTCCCCTAAGGTGGCGAGTTGAGCCTGGATATTAGCAAGCATCTGAGCCATGTTAACCTCTCCTTGTTCTCCCATATCGTTCCTGCGTGCAACAAAAACAACAAAAGATCAAGTGCAATTGGTGCGGTATGAAATTTTGGCTACTAGAACGTAAATAACAAAACTACTAAGTATGATGATTCTTCTCTCTTCTTTTCTCTTCTTTTTTTTTTGATGCAATGATAGTTCTATAGAATATGAGGTAACCGATGTATTAAAACAATGTATCTAGGACAATAAAACGGATTCAAGACTACTAATGCGATGCAATAAGTTTTTTTTTTTGACTTTTCTTAAGGAACCCTAGTGATATGAAGATAATGAATGTAAACTTGAAACAAACGATACTATTATTTTTTTATTTTCTAGAGAACCCTAAGACGATGCAATGACTTAAACAAACAGATCTAAATTTTTTTTGATTTTTCTTCAAGAATGAAACAAAACTAGAAGGTAACAAGGGGATAGATTCACCTGACACGAGCCTAAGCTCTGATACCAGATGATGTAGGAACAAGATTGACTTGTTCTTACTTGGATGGAAAGGTGGTGAATCTCTAGCTGGCCATACGGCTCTCTCTAGATGACTCGGTAGAAAGGAGTGATGAAACAAGGTGACAAGGGTACAATGGATCGAGAGACGCCACACAGATGATGGAAGAATCTGTGATAAGTCTTGTTCTTCAGCTTCAAAGGAATCACACCAAAGAAGAGGAAGAGAACTAGCTGCGGCTAGGGTTTTGCTCTCAAAGAAAACTCGGGTTATTTTATTGATAGATTAAGAGTTTACATGCTGAGAAGGAACATTATATAATGGTTCGACAGCAGGGTGGCTTCTCTTGGCCGAAATACATAAAAAGAAACTACAAAGCTCATCGTTTAACTAAAGCAACAAAGTGGAAAAGTTCTAAAAAAACGACTAAGGCAAAGAAAAGCTCCTGCAAAACAAACAATAAGCTCGTGAGATATAATCCAATTGTAAACACTTACATTGGTTCGATGAGTGGTATTTCCACTTGCTTGGAGATGACAAACATAGTAGCGTCCTTGATGCCTTGTAAAACAGGTAGGAATGATATGGCTTGAAACTTAAGTTGAGAGTAGTCATTGCTCGGTGTCTCCTTGACTTTCTTGGCTTCTTGAAGGTCTTGGCTTGAACCGGCCGTGTCTCCCACGTCTTGTTGTGTCTCAAGTGTGCCGAACTCGGTTAGAGGCTCCATTGGTGTCTCTCGGGTGATCTCCACTTTGAGTAGCTCCTCTTTGAGTTCCTCGTGCTTTAAAAGTGTGATCAGCCCTTCTATTGACTTGTTGAATTCCTCTCTTAGACTCTTAGTACCTGACCTTGTCTTTGGTGCATGTCTCATGGTGGGTATGTTGATCGGCTCTTCATCAGCTAGCGTTAGGCTTGTCTCGATGTCCTCATCAAAAGGAATGTTCTAGAGAATATCTACAGGTATATCCTGTATAAGGAATATTTAAATTATTCTATATAATGCGATATATACTCTAACACTCCCCTGCAGTTGAAGCATCAGAGGAAAGGACTGTGAGTCTGTCTCGGAAATCAAGAAATAGTGGAGAGGGAAGCCATTTGGTAAATGTATCTGCAAACTGTCGAGCTGATGGAACATGTAGAACACGAACCTGACCAAGAGCAACTTTCTCATGGACAAAATGGATGTCTATTGGCACATGTTTAGTCTGTTGATGTTGTACCGAGGTAAAGGAGAGATATATCGCACTGTTATTATAGCAATAAATAACTGTTACCCATGACAGTGGTACTTTCATTTCCAACAATAACGTATGGATCTTAGTTGCTTCAGACACCGCATTAGTAACGCCTTAATACTCAGCCTCTGCACTAGAGCGTGATTTGGTTTGTTTCCGTTTAGAAGACCATGAGATCAAGTGTTCACGAAAACACACAGTAACCAGAGGTGGACGAATGCCGAGTGTATGTACAGCCATCCCAGTCAGCGTTGGAGTAAGCTGTGAGGTTGGTCAAAGTTGAGCATTTCATGTGGACACCGTGAGAGATGATGACCTTGACGTACCAAAGAATCTGCTTTAATTAATGCATTGATATGAGACTCATGAGGATCATGCATAAAGAGGTATATTTATTGGACAGCAAAGGAGATGTCGGGACGTGTGAAGGTGAGTTCGTCATATGGGCTCGATGAAGTATGTAAAAATATAATTTTGTTAATGAAGGAATAGGCCAGCAGCATCACATTTGACGGTGATCCCAAAAAAGTCATGGAGAAGACCTTGACCGGATATCTCAAACTTGGAGCTGAGGCTGGTGGTGATGCGCAGCAGCAGCACAACGAGGTGAAAGATAAGGAAGTAAGGACGATTTCATCCACATAAAGGAGGAGATAAGCCAAATCTGAACTGTTTCAGAGTACAAACAAACACTGATCCATGGTGGTCTGTTTGAAACCAACACATCGTGCATAGCTGACAAAACGTGTGTTCCACACCCGAGGAGCCTCCTTAAGGCCGTAGAGATAACACTTCAAGAGGCATATGTGATCAGGTTTAGTCTTGTCCACGAAACCAGGGGCTGGTGCATATAAACCGTTTCTTCGAGACCGCCATGAAGAAACGCATTCTTGAATTCAAGCTGGTGAAGAGGCAAATCACTAGCCAAGGCATCGTCTAACACAATATGAGTCATGCCAGGCTTGACCACCGGGCTGAAAGTCTCATCATAATTGACTCCACATTTTTGAGATTTGCCATTTGCGAGTAGACGGGCTTTGTAGCAGCTTAGAGCATCTCCAATGTATGACTTCATATTTTTTTCTATTTTGGAGTAACTTCAATATGGAGTTATATTTTACTCCAATGTAAGCTTTATTTTTACTCCAAAATGGAGTTATGACCAAAAAAATAGAAAAACTCTATTTTTTGTTCCATATATGGAGTAACTCCATTTTTTACTCCATTTTGAAGTGAGATTTGGAATAGGGATGGAGAGAATCTTGCTTTTAACTCTGTTTTGCAGTAAAATTTGCAGTAGGGTTGGAGATGGTCTTAGTGTTCCATCTAAAATAAACTTATGCTTAAAGAGCCACATAGGGCGCAAAATATTATTATTCTTTGGGCATGGCACAAGAATCCATGTTCCACGCTTAAGAAGAGCACCATGTTCCACATGCATGAAATTATTTCAAAAGAGATCTTTAGCCGTGTGTACATGGGACAATGGTAAGGAAGAAATTGTGGCATTAGTATTGAGGCACATTGGAAGGCGCAATTTAACGATACCACTTTTACCTTGAGTGATCATGGAATATGTGTTTTGAGGAGGAACGGAAGGAGGAGGAGGAGAAGGTGCAGCTAGAGGATGAGTTGGAGATGGTGGAGGTGAAGTAAGAGGTTGTTGTATACGAGGTATAAGGTGCGGCTAGGTCATTTTTGATGCAAAGAACCCCAGAGAAATTTGAATAGCCTATATTCTTGAGTATGGAATATACTAGTACTGTTTTATTTGAAATTAATTTTGACTTAATTTCTCATTAAATATGTTAGACCAGGGAAACGAAACTTACATTCATGACTTCTTTTTCTTTTTACCACTTTTTGCTGATTTTGAATGGCTAGTTCATCTTTAGCTAGTTTTCCACCTTACCCTATATCTTTCAGACCCCATATACTCTTGTTTTCTATTTTTTTTTTATGTGCAGATGTGTGAAAAAACGTCGGAGAGAAAAATAACAACAGAGTTTTCAGTCACTGGAGATGAAGATTAAACTTTATTGGTGAAGGAGATTCCCAAGAGCATTACTTGATTCTGAAAACTCAAAAATATGGTATATGGTCGTGACTTTAGACTTTATCTCTATCAAAAAGGATTTTTTTCTTTTCAATTAAAAAGAAAAAAATGAAAAGAAAGGAAAAGGAATTAGCCTAAGAGAAGTTTAAAGGTATACCCTGAGTTCCAAGGATTTTATGGATCATCATTGAAAAGACTTTGGAGTTTTTTTTATTGAGTCCTAGAGAAAAATCTAAGTGTAAGGGAGTTACAAAGAATATATCAAAGAAGGAAGAATGTGCAACACTTCCATAGCAAGCAAGAAGAAATGACTGAAACCTATGGATATCAACATGTCCATTCTCTCTTGCGTTTTTGCATAATATCTTGCATTCTCATAAGCTTAAAAGGTATTCCTAAGCACTTTAACTCCACCACTTAAGTAGCCCTTTCTATGAAAAACACCGTCTACCCTGGATGAAATGTTTATTGAGAGTTCACACTATTACTTAATGAATGTAGAGAGGTAGTTGACCAGAATTGAGATCTAGGTTGCTTATATTTTGTATGACGGAACCATGGACTAGTGTCATACTTGCTTTGGTAAGAATTTTCAATGCGAAGTTGTGGTAGATGTAGTTCGATGGTTATTTGTTTAGAAAGTAAGGTCTTTGAGATTTAAGTTCCCTATGATTTCTTTTGAAAGCTCTTTCCAAACTTAAATCCTGTTTTGTTTGATGACAAACAAAAGTTTAAGTCTGGAAGAGTTGATAACACTGCATTTTTATCTA